CAGCCACAGGATCCATGCGGACAGAGGGACCAGCACCGACAGCACCACCACGACCGTGACCGCTGACAGGGGCCATGGGCCCAGAGGCTGCCCTGCAACTAACACAGAGCCGGGAGTGGGTGCAGAGCAAGCAACGGCCCTGACCTCAGCATCAGCGCAGGCCCGTGTCTCCTGTCTCTGCGGGGACGGGCAGCAAGGTACAGCCTGCCTCTGCTCCATGTCTGCTGGGCACAGCACAGGGAGGGAGGCTCTGGAGCACAGGGACTTGTCCCATCTCCCATACAGAGCCGGATAGTCTGGAGGCCTGCTCACCCAGCCTGCACACAGCCTGCACAGAACCAGGCTCAGCAGCCTTAGTGCCCTCTGGCCCTGAGCCCCCCGAGCACTCAAATGCAGCGAAGGGTGTGATCTTTAGCGAAAGGGTAGAGGGGCCAGCCCTGCTCTCGCAGACACAAACAGGGGCTGAAGAGATACAGCTGCACTGGGAACCAGGCCATGCACCCCTCCAAGCAGGACTCATCCAGATCCACGGCCCACTGCTGAGTGGGGCTCTCAGGTTGCCCACACTCCCTGCCTTGCTCTTGCTGGGGATGGGGTGGGTACACACACAGCTCCGGAAGCGGCTGGAGGCCTTCAGGGAAGCCCACCCCAGGGTAGAACAACCATTACCCGAGATGTAGCTCTGAAATTCCAGCAATGATGCAGCCCCGGCACCAGCTGCCGTGAGGCCCTGCACCGTCACCGTGTACTTGCTTCCAGGAATCTGACGAGATGGTGTGTGCTGAGTGACAGACTGGTTCACCATCACCTGCTTGAATTCAAGGAAGCTGCCATCAGTCGCTCTCCGGGCCGTGATGTTCAGCTAGAGGAAGGACAGGGAGCTGGTGGGGAGCAGCACTGACCTCCCTGAGCTCCTGCTCTGCGGAAAGGGGCTGCTACTGCTGCTGTGAGATGGGAGGGGGCCTGACCTCTCCACCAACACCAGCAGTGTAGAGCTGGTGGGCCCTCACGGAGGAAGGCTCACACCTCTCCCCAGCCTGCCTGCAAAGCTCCAGGCAAAGAGGAGCCTGGCAGTGTGAGGAGGACCACGAAGAGTCCTTGGTTCCCTGGTACCTGGTATCCGAGGATCTCCCCTTTGCAGGAGGGCAGCGCCTTCCACCTGAGGGACCCTGTGCTGGCATCCAGCCACAGCTTCTCCGGTTTGTCTGGCACTGGAAGCACAGGAGGATGGGGTCACACATGGTGCTGGTGAAGATTTCTCCCCCACAAAGGCTGCATGTGAGTGAGCAGGATTTCTCCCCCTGGTTTGCTCCAGGGCCCTGCACAGCCCCTTCCCCAGAGGTTCCAAATCCCAGGCCATGACTGCAGGACCAGATGCTCAGGCTGAGCTGCTGGGTGAAGAACACCTTTACATTTCATGTGAACATACCCATTTCCTTTGTCCTGAAGAGCCGTGTGTACAGAATCGTGCTGGGGGGCAGGGAGATGGTGACACTGTAGACAGTGAAGGGCTGCAGGGGGGGGCAGGTGAAGGTTCCCTCCTGGCCGTGTAGCATCTCCTCTCCCTTCACCTCCTCAGCCTCACAGGGAGGGGAGGAAGGTTCTTCCAGCCGGCACCTGGCCCGAATGTGCTGGCAGGCATCAGGGAGCCTGCAGGTCCAGTTCAGTTTGATGCTGGTGCTGGAAATCTCCAAGGTCTCAGAGACAACCTGGAGGACATCTGTAAAGGGAACATTGCGAGAAGGTCACCTCCTTCCCTTCCCCTCCTGGCCTTGCAGCCAACCTCCACCATCCCTACCACTCCCTCACCAGTCTGTCCCCAGCACGGTGAGGACGAGGCCATCCCACCTTCTCCCAGACTACACTTGGGAACTGTGGGCAACTTGTTCTGGCAGAAGGCACTAACGCTGTGGGATGCATGTGGCATTGCCCTCCCTGCCTTGGAGGGAACAGATGGAGAGCACTGGGAGAGTGGCTGGTTCGCTCACTTACCCACACAGGGCATTTTCGCCTCCAGAGGGTGCCAGTAGCCTGTGCCATTCCTCACAATCCAGCCACTCTGAGGAACTGTGGAGCCTTGTCTTGGGTGCAGCTTCACACATTTGATCTCCATGGGGGGAGGCCAATGCCCCTCAGGGCATCTCATCTTCACCACTTCATTTGGGTTGAAGGTCCCCCGTTCTTGGTCAAAGATAAACCTGGGGTCCCACCAGGGCTTCTGGCATTGCTCTGCACCAACAAGATGGGAAGGTGTTATCAGGGCAGAGGGTGGCCCTCCTCAGAAGGCCAGGAAATGCAGCAGGGGATCCCCTGCCTTGGCACAGCAGGGTGAGGGATGGAGCTCCTGGACACCATACAGGGCATCCCTCCTGCACCACAACCCAGGCAAAGGGAAGAGGGCAAAAAGGGCCCAACACTGCTTCTCCCAGGCCTCTCAGGAAAGTCCAGGAGGAGCCAGAACTCCAGGGATTGGGGGCACGTTGTACTACGTACAAAGCCTGCGCAGAGACTGATGGACCAGCATGTGGCCCTGGTGCCCTGTTCATCCCTCACGGAGGATGACAGCACCCCAAGGCCTCCGGGTGAGAAGGCAGTAACACCTGAGCCCAAAAGCTGGGTGGCAGCCTGCAGCAGAGACTGGGAGGGCAGCCCGGCACACTTGGACAAGGCCAGGCCCCTGCCCTGCCTTCACAGGCTAGGAGGATATAGAGAGAAGGGTCCTGTGATCCCCCAGACCCTGACACAATGCTGTTGGCCAGCTGTGCCACAAACACCTGTCAGACCAGGGTGGCACTGAGGTCCATCTTCCCTCTGCACACCCTGAGGCCAGAAGTCCCCAGGGAGCCCCATGTCACCCACACATCCCCACTAGGAACATCCTACCGACCCCTGAACAGGCTGGAGCCCTGGACGATGGGCTCCTGGCCCTGGTTTGTCACTGGCAGATCTGACTATCACTCCCCATTCTAAGCCCACCGTCCCCTCCTGCCAGGACCCTTGGGAGCTGAGGCTGGCACCAGCCCCCTCCCCACCAAGGCTCCCCTGGAGACCCACGGCACGTACAGGCCAGGCTGGGGGCTGCCTTCCAGCAGCACCCACCATTTCTCCTTGCAGGCAGAGAGCCTGGAACCACATAGCCCGCCTTCCCTGCTCTGGAAAGGCAGAGGGGGCAGCCAGAAGAGCTCCTGATGCCTTCCTTACCGACACACTCCACGCTGGACCGAATGCGAATCCAGGCACCTCTGCTGCCCCTTCCCCACCAAACGTCCCGGTAGACAGGTTTCCCAAGGCTGATGGACTGGACTTCCCGTGCACATTTGACCGTGGTGAAGGACGGCTGGAAACCATCGATGCAGCTCAGAGTCACTTCTTCATCCTTCTTGTAATTCTCCTGGTCTGGTGCCAGACGGAGCCCTGGGTCCCACCAGGGCCTCTGGCACGTTTCTGGCAGAGGTGAAAGGGGGTGTTAGTTGGGGTGGGGGTGACCAGCTGGTGTGGGGTAAGTGGTGGGGTGTCAGGAAGCCCCAGACAACTCTCCAGTCCCTGAAGGCAGAGGAAAGGTGACACATCCATCTGCCGGGACATGACCCCTCAGCAAGACTTCTTGGGAGGGGGCTCTCCCTCTGTCCTGCTCAGAAAACGCTGCAGGCACTGACAGCTTGACAGCGTGCCACTACCTTGTCTCCCTTCTCCTGCCTGGGGCACCTCTTCAGCAGATTGCACAGGTAACACAGCACCAAGGAGGGACTGTGGCCTGCCTGCTGCTCAGCCAGGCAATGTCATGACTGGCTATTGAGGGTGAGGGACAGGGGAGAGCTGCTGGGCCGTCACTTACCAATACACTCTATGGCTCTTTCAATCAACACCCAGGCACCCGTGCTGTTCCTGCCCCACCAAGTATCTCCATATCCTCCTTCTCCAGAACTCTGTTGTAGAAATTTCTTTATACATTTGACCTTGGGGAAGGATGGCTTGAGGTCTCTAGGGCAGGTCAGCATCAGTTCTTCATTCTGTGTGTATCTTTTTTTGTTTGATGGAAACCGAAGTTTTTCATCCCACGAGGGTCTTGAGCACTTTCCTGTCAGAGTGTGGCAGAGTGTGAGAGTTTTTCTCAGGAACAGGGTAAGCTCAGGGAGAAGGGGGACTGAGTCTTGGCCATGACTGTGGTGTCAGCCTTCAACACCACAAGGAAACCCAAGGGCCCCCAAGTTCAGGAAAGAAGAGTGTGCCTGGGCAAGGTAGTGATATGGGACACTGTGAGAGAGGTGAATTGAGGAGCAGGATCTGGCCTCCTCCAACTTCACCATGGCCTGCAACTCAGGAATAGACTGGGAGGAGATGCAGGGATAGTAGGAAAACTTGGCCCACACAGAAGGCTCCTGTTGCTCCCCATCTTGGAGACTGCTCCTAGCTGGGACCTGTCTCGAGCTGTGGCCAAGGTGTCACGTGGAAATGGCAGGGTGTCCAGGGTCCCTCCCTGGGAAGAAGTTAGTGTATCAGGGGAGACCTACTACTCCCCCACTCACCGATATTGCAGGTCAGGCTCTCTGACACGCTGTGCCATGTTCCCTGAGTGTCCTTCACCTCCCAAGCATCCGTCCCATCTGAAGACGCCCCTTTTGCACATCTGATCACAGCAAAGGGAAGAGGGTCCTCCATAAAGCAGGTCAATATCACCTCTTCATTGAGCCCGTAAAGGTCTTGCATTGGGGTAAATCCCACCCTGTCCCACTGGGGCCGCTGGCAACTCTCTGTGCAGAGGAGAAGGAGCGGGTGTAAGCAGGATTGGAAGGAGCCTGCTATGGGGTCTGTTGCCCTGATTGTGACACTGTCCAGCTCCTTTGGTTACCACGGTCAACTCCAAATCCCTCTCTTACAGCCTAAAACAGAATTGGGGGTGGCAGTAGTCACATCCACCTCTGCAGATAGGTAGGCTTCCTCACTCAGGCTCCATTTGAGTAAGGCTGACTGAGGACTGGGGTCCTCCTCACCTTTCACAAAGAGGATCTTCCACACCCACCACTTTGACTACATGACCAGGAACCATGAAGGCACAGGGCTCAGTGTAGCCCCCATTGCTGGGACTCTTGTTCCTGCCTTTGAACAGAGCACATACCCCGCAGCTGCTCGCGTCAAGATGCTGAGATAAAAGATTCCCTGGCACTGCCACGGCATGGGGAAACCTGAGGCATCCAGGTGTCCAGTTCCTGGACTGTCACTCAGGTGGGGCTGAGGCATGACCATGTCACACAGAGTCTGTCGCCAGCTCAGGACCCTGTGGTCCGGGTGATGTCAGGCTGTGCTTACCCTTGCAGGTGGCAGTCTCATTCCAGAAGGTTTGGGTTCCATTGGAAATGCATCTGATCTGGGCAACCGATGGCACATAGTTCCCAACACAGCTCAGCTGCACCACGTCATTCAAGGCATAGCTGCTCTGGTTCCAGGAAAACCATATCTTGGGGTCCCAGTCGGAGGGAGCTTTACATTGTCCTGTGTGCGATGGACATGAGAGAGAGCTCTGAGCATCACTGGGCTCTGGCAGCATCCTCAGGGCTGAGAAGGCCCTGTCAAGGGGGCTGCTGGCCCCCCTATCTTCAGAGGGTTGGCAGAGATGAGCACCTCCCCAGACCCCAGGTGCATTAACTGTCCCTGCACCCCCAGGTGCAGTGCAGGAGGGTTACCTGCAGAACCCTCCTGCCCACCCATGCACTGCAGAGGGATCCAGCAGCCTGGTGGATGCTCCTCTCTCCTGCCCTCCCTCCCCAAAAGACAGGGGCTGTGGGAGTGCACCAGACCCAGGGAGTCTCTGCTGGCACCGCTCACCTGCATTCCCATCGTCCTGCTTGGCACTACCTGCTCACACCCACTTTCACCCTTATCTGCAGCAGAAAGCCCACTCAAGTTGCCAATTTGCTTTTGCTCTGCAGGTTACGTTTGTTATGTTCTCCTCTCCATCCCTTGCCCAAAATACCTGCTGGCTCCAAGGGCTGGATACCTCCCGTCCCATATCCCTCCCATCCTCACCCAGGAGGGGCAACACCCTCACGCCTGGGTTGGCAGAAAGGACTCTTCAGGGACTGCAGGTAGGTGTTTAACCAGCTGCATGCTTAGTTGCGTTTTGCCACATCTAGATTGGGCAATTAATGGAAGTAAATCTTCATATTAGTTTTCCATTAGCTTCTAGACAGGAGTGCTGCTATGTCTATGCATGGCACTAATTTGGGGTCTCTACCCTCTATCCACATACCCATTTCAATCTAATAATAAATGTCCTTCTCTGAGCTCTCTTCATCCAACAAATCCAGCTGTAAGTACCCAAATACTGCCCGAAGTTACCGGGGTGCAGCCAGGCAGGCACAGTGAGGTTGTACTGCTTCCCAGCACACCCAAAGAGCGTTAGGTCTCCCCACGACACCATGATATCTCTGCACACCTCGCGCAGCAGGCCAACAGGCACCAACTGCTGCATCGTCTCAGCCAGGACAAAGCCCATGGAAAATAAATAGAACAAAGTCTCAGTTGACTGGAAAATTGAGCAGCAGTTATTTCAGGCAGGTGAGAGCTGCTTGTGAAAGCATTTCCAGTGTTTCAGTTTGCATTTCAGGGCCCAAAATCATGCCTATACAAGGTTTATTCATCTATCGGGATCCTTCAAGCTTGGAGTCAAGGCAGAAATGTGAACAATTGTTGCTTGAAAAGAGGTTTGTGGGGCCTGACCTCAAGCAAGAAGCCGTCTGAGGGAGTGAAACCCCTCCAGTGGAGACAGTCCTAGGATCCAAGGGGGCTGGGAGTGCTCATGGCAAGGCAGGCCTCTCCCAGTCTTGACTGTTGGTGCAAAGGGGGCTCATTGCTTTTCCTGTTGTAAGTTCTCCTGTACATCATGGCAGCTATTACTGTCCCCACAGTGCCAAAAAACCCACTGGCAGCACAGGACATGGTGACCTGCCGGGCAGGAAACAAGGAGGG